TTTTCGCAAAATTTGCACCCCTTGACTAGATCTCACAAATTCGCGGTATGTTCTATATTGCGTTTTGGAATTTTAGTGGCAACTGGCGGGGTCACAAGTACCGAGCGTCAGATGCTCAGTTTTCTCGGTCGAACGCATTTCGGTCGTGAGGCGAGGCGAAAATCTGTCATGCTGCGCTGCCATGTGTTCACTGGCTTGATGCTCTATTAAAATCGTCTCATGCAGGATTAGTCCATGTTATCAAGCCCACGCGATCACACTCCCTTCGCTACTGCACTGAAATGAGCGGCGACCGGGTGTTAAAAAATACGAGATACTCATTTCGACTGCGTTGAAAGGTGGGCAGAGGCGTTTCTAGTTATTTTTGTATCTTTCGATTTAATGTCAATAACATTTAAATTCTGTGTGACTGCAAACGGTGCACCTGACCTCCGAATATTCTTCTCCCTCTTTTCCTACATAGTGAGCTGATTTATGAATAAAGGTAGAAATAAATGAATCGTAATAGTAAGTAAACTAGGGTAATATGTAAAATATAACTGGCGCACAGGGTAAGTACAAACTGAAAAGTACTTCGTTCTTATCCTACTAGAATGCTCCCCTCTTTATGAAAATAAGTAATAATAAATTGTCCCCGTAAAGAAATTATGACATTTTTTTAAATGTACTAGTAAATATAATTTCTTTTTTTCATTTACAAGGAATTACAATAACTGGTATGACAGGAAAATTAAGTGTCAATCCACTTCATTAAGTCTTTTAAAACATTACGATATCTGTTATGCTTTGAGTACAATGAAAGACAAGCAAAGGAACAAGGTTTTTCTGATTCATTTCCATCGGCAGCGTACATTATTTTCAATAAATCTGATTAAAAATAGCAGAGAACTAGTGGACTGCCGCAGCAAAAATATTGCTGAAAAAATCTCCACAAAATGATTTTCCAAAAATAGCACGCACACTGGCTCAAGGAGTATGAGAATTCCGTCGGTACGCGCAGTGTGAGAACAGGCGGAATCACACATTTCTTTCATTCAAAAGAGAAACAAGTGTTTCATTACTTTCGAATTTATTCTGAGTTCTGTGTTTCTATCAAAACCATAGACCTGGCCCAAAGCGTATTTTTCTTCAATTTCTGCACGCATTACAAATGAGTAATGTAAATACAACAAATAATAATATTATTTCTTTAGCACATTGTTTCATTTATTTTAAGGAATACAATTAATTACATTATTAATAAATGAGGGAAGAATGAAAAAGCAGTAGTTATTTCTTTCCCTATGATGATCATTTCCGTAATTAAAAATTTGTATCTTCCCCTTGTCAGATGCCACACCTGCATTGTGGTGTTCGAGATACTCCACTAAGTACGGCGGTAGTATTGTTACATAAAAACGGCACATGCTTGAACGTGAGACAACCCCCCACTTCTTTTCCAGAACGACAGTGCTGCTCCAGTGGCGAACTTCAATCCTATTTCTCTCTTAACTCAATTAAATAACTAAATAACTTGCGCGCCAGCGGGATGTTTATACTTACTTGACTAAGCTGGCCAAGAGTAACGGAAGCAGTATAAAAGCTATTAGTGACAACTTTTCCTTCGAGTATTAGTACCTGCATAACAGAACGAATGGCGTTCCTGTAGACTTTCGCCTGTGGCCGGCGCTCCCATTGGCTGGAGCACGTCGACGTCAGGAAGGCCGCAGCATGGCGTCCGACTAATTTTGTTCCGTGACGTCTGCCGACAAATATTCGTGGACGGGTTCTGCTGAACCGCTCGGTAACTTCCCGGTGTTATTACCTCATTTAAAGCCACTTACTCGTAATGAAAAGATCCATTAACTACGAAATAAATTTACGTTTTGTGAAATTTACATTTATTTCATTTTTAACAAAAAATTAAACTTATTATTAGTAATATTTATGTATCATCTTTATGTATCTAAAAACAAAAATAATTTTTTGAAGTTGAAAAAATAATTTTAAAACCATAAAATTAAACCAATTCTTCCAGAAGTATGTCCGAAATTTAGACATTGTTTTGTTTATGAAATATCTCGTTTCTTATGAGCATTTTTCTATTTCATATAGTGTTTTATGTAATTGGTAGGAGAATTGTTTCTCGGAAAGCGAAAGCTTTAAGTGTGTTATTCGTGATGTAACAATTATAAAAAGTAAAATAAATAATTATTTATCCTCGCCGCAAACCATTTTGATAATATTGTAATTTATTGGCATGTTTATTACTATTGAAACTATCTATCTAATACTAATCTATCTTGTACTATTAAATTTTCATTCCAAAAGTCTGACCTGTAATACGTTTGAGATAATGTCGGGTTTGAGATAGCCCATTGGGTGTTCCCTGGCCGCAGCAGCGGCGGCGCGGCGAGACACAAATCTTCTCAAGATGTGGATTGTTTACCTCAGCGATACGCTATCTGACGGGCAGTGTACGATAAGCGTCTCCGAGTTCATGATAAATAGCACCGGCTCGTTTTCCAAGAACTCTTCACCTGGTGACTCACATTCCAATAACTAACAGATTTTAATGAAATATCCTCTTTTTCACTTTCGAACAATTCTGTTTACTATAGAAATTCATTTTATGTTAAGACAAACCGAAATAACACTTTTTTATTTGTTTTTTAGCAGTTATTGTCGATTTCAACTAATAAGTAAGTTTTTACGTTTTACATAATTTTTAATGCATTTCATGATAATTTCATCGATTTTAATATCATTTTAATGGTTCTTGCTTCAAACAATATTTACGAGACCCAAAAAATGTTCACTACAGAATTCCTGAGTAGCCTGTTCAACATCTTCGCTCATATATTACAACCTCAGCCGTTGTGAGTACTATGCTATCTATGGTTCCTCCTGACGCCCACCGGCGCCATCGTCATTTCGGCCGATTTCGCGATGAAAACAGAGATTTTCTTTTAAAGATCAGTCCAAACCAAAAGTTTCCAAGCTGATTTCACTTGAACACAAGGAAGAAGCCTCGATTACTTCAGTAATATTTCTAACGGCACGAGTTGTTCATCTGAAGTGGTTTTGATAATTTTTTTGCGTCATTTTTCTTTTCTTTTAGGGAATTGTTAAAGAATTTTACGAGCATTTTATTGGCCATTTTTGGCAATGTTTTACATCATCAAAATCCGCCCCGTAAATATAACACTGTTCCTTTTGGCAGAGCCAACTCGTCGTTGTCGAATGTTGCTCCGACGGGCGTCGTATTTGCCGCCCATGCGCAACGTGGTACTCGTAGGCGTGCAGCCGGCAGAGGCTGTGCACCTGCGGCGAGGTGAGTGCCCCCAGAGCGTTACGCAACCTCCGCGGCCCCCTCTCGCTGTCGCGCCGGGCGCTGGTCAGGGTCGCCGCCCCCAATATCGCCGCCGGCCCTCGAGGCCGGGCCAGCTGGCGGGCATGCACGTGCGCGCACACGCATCTCTTGCCCGATGGTGGGCTGCAGGGCCGGCACAGCGCGAAAAAAGGGGTGCCGGCGCCGCTGGCCGAATACGTTTACCACGATCCGTGAAGTCACGGAGGTTCAGCGAATTGAATTTGAATTTGCCTTATTTTACGTGGCGAGACTCGGGCCAACAGGCCCGCTCTTCCGTCTGACCACGCAAATTTCGTTACGCTCCTTTCACCAACGAGCAGAGAAAGGAGGTGGGCGAGAAACAGGCGATTTTGAATTTAGCTCAGAGGCGTCATTTAGGTTTGAGGATCTTTTACATGCAAGTAAATCTACTAACATGGGACATTTTGTCATAGCAAAATGCCGTCAGAAGTCACCTTCTGCGGGAGCAAATTCGAACGAGTGTTGAATGCGATCGATTTTTTTTGACATTTTTAAGAAGTGAACAATTCATGTAGCTGAATCATGATGTTTCAGTGTAACAAAAAGCAGTACACAGAGAAATTACCAGATGAAGCAATTATATCTAGTTGATGTAATTACATATAGCATTCTATACTCCATAAGTGTCTCACGAGACGAAAATGGAGAGGTCGGTTGCAGCATTCTCCCTTAGTGCTTGGCAAGTGAGTCATTAGTGCCGGGGGGTCCCAAGGGGAAGAACGCGGTGAACTCCAGCCACAGTCCTCCACTTACGTAATCTTATCGGACTGTTGTACCCAAGTTCTCGGGTTCACACCCGATCGAAGCCGTGGATTTTTAAGACGAATCGACGTACGCCTTCCTTCGGAGGGGAAGTGAAACCGACTGTCCTATGTTAGTAGAAATACTGCAACTAAAAGATCCTCAAGCCTAAATAAAGTCTCTGAGCTAAACTCAAATCGCTTGCATCGTCGCTCAAGTAATACCTCCTTTCCCCGATAGTTAGTGAAAGGAGCGTAGCGAAATTTGTGTGGTCAGACGGAACAGCAGGCCTCATGGCCTGAGCCTCGCCACGTAAAATAAGGCGCTAATTCAATTCAATTCAATACGTAAGGCACTAAGAGGCTAGCGTCTCTCAAGTCAGATCTTTTCCGTAACCCTCAAACACCTAACCTCGAGCAATAATAGAATAAAAGACAAGAACGTATCGTTTGAAAAATCTTGCAGTGCTGACTGCACCAGTGCCAATCAGCGGTATAATTGTGTACCGAGAACGGACGTGTATTATATTCTCGGTTATATTTGAATTTGCGAGTGTTTGGAACTTCAGGATACGCCAAATGGCTTAAAAAATTCAATTGTGGAGTGAATTTAGATAAATTGCGATGAATTAAATAAGAGAAAAGAACATTAACATGAAGTACATACACGTGTGAAAAAGACATGATGGCGATGTTGCTATCAAGGACCCGAGGTGCGATGTTGGTGAGATGGGACTGATACTCACCAAGAGGCAGATAAATAATCTACAGATGTCCGATTGATTACAAAGGGTCCAGACGATTGCTTATTAGTATTACAGTATCCCGAAGAAAAATGTCGCAAAAATAAATCAATAAATCCTCCAGAAAAAAATGTATTTAAAAATATAGATTAGTATATTTTGTCCCCAAATGATATTGTTGTGTACATATGTACATAGAAATTCTATTTTGAATGTTAATTGCTTAAGATAATGAGTACAAGGAAACCCGATACATTGGATACATTTGAGGGATTCATTTAAGGAATTTTAGCAGAGAAGATAATATGTGATGATAATTTGAGTGACACTTCTTCAAATGGACTACTTGATTAAACACTAAATGGCATCAATTTCCGAAATTCGGATCTGGTCATTTCTCGCATTGACATGACTTTGAATATTATTATTTTGTAAATTCCTATTTAGATACGAAAAAGGGTAGAGTTACATAATCTGGTTCGTCTGAATAGGGGCAAGTAATTTTAATTAATGAGAATTGGCCGCATAACAATATTTAAAAAATCATTTTTTAATAAATGTTTTATTCGCTATTAGATTTATTGTGGATGTTCTATTTAATTCTTAGTTAATGTTAATCAGGTCAATTGAATGATGCACTGTAAGTTCAATTGAGTAATTTTTAAGTTATATTGAATAATATTAACAAATTATCCAGCCATATAAGACAGAAAAATTGCACAGCTGGCCACCGAAGATGTAATGACATATGGTTTCGACATACTTTTTTCAATAAAAACGTTGAGTAAATGTCTTGTAAAAAGTATTTAAGCCAGATTCTCATATTTTCAATTATTGTCAAAGCTTTCTTTACAAATAATTACATGGGAAGTCTGTTAATATAAACGCTGTACTCTTTCTGTCAAATTCGTTAAACTCTGCCCCCGCAAAAAACGGCGTACTAATACACATGATTTTGGGAATTTTGGTTTTTAAAATAATATTAATCAAAAGTGTTTACTATTTTTCTCTCCCATGTAATAAAAATGGAACTATAAAATAAATCAACATATTTAAAGGATTTGAGGTCAATTAGTTTTATTTTAAAATCGTTTTAGATTCTTAAATATAGTGTGATGTTTTACCATCAATCAATTGTTAAAGAATGAAATCACGTTTTGGAGTAAGAATATCAAGTGATAGTTTCAAGTAACTATCACTAGAGATACAGCAATAAAAAAGTTGCTTGTAAACAGCGACACACACATATATTTAATGAAATTTAAACTACAACATAGAATGCTCAGGCATTAATGAACACTTCGTATATACATAATTATACAACTATTCCCTGCAGGTACGTGAATAAACAGATAAATTAAAAGTTTTACAGAGTTAATGCATTTTAGGCACATTATATTCATGTGCAATACTGCGAGATCAAAAGAGTCGAATGATGTAACGATGAGAGATGGGAATAATTGAGCAGCGTAGTTTTGTCGTTTCCATCGTGCTCGAGAATAAGAAAAAAACACTTTAAAAAATCTCATTTGGAATTTTCGCTCCTATACATTTCACAGAACAAAACCTGTATATGAATAACAAAAATAAGTGATTCAGGTATTTGCCCCATCAGTTTGAATTCAATTTGGAAATGAGTTGTTTGCTCCGTGGCCGGAGAGGCGGGCTGGTGCTGCTCAGGCGCGTCGCGGGGTGAGGCCGCACCAGAAGCCGCCCTTCGCCAGCAGGTTGGCGCCCGTCTGGTACTCGATGGGGAACTTGGTCTTGGCGCTCGGGTGCAGGGCGAATGAGTGCAGCAAGTGCACCAGCGCCATCTTCACCTCGATCAGCGCGAAGCGCTGGCCTGGAAGCGAGAGGTCGGACCAATAACCTCACTTTTCATTATTTATCTTTCATTTAACTTATAATTTTGTGTTACGTCATGTAATTTCTTTAAACAATCGACTACTTAAATGCTCGTATAAATAACCATAAAGGAGAAAAATGATTCTTTTAAAAATGATCTATCATAATTATATTGATGTAGGAAAATACTATATTGCGGATTTAGAAATTGTTAAATATTAAATAAAATTCTAGGTTTTCTTGCTAAAAATGTCTAAGGTTACAGTAAGGTAAATTTATCATTCTAAAATCAATAATTAATATATACAGGGTTTCTTAAAGTTTAAAAAGGGGATTCCCGTTTCTACGTATATATATATATATATATATATATATATATATATATATATATATATATATATATATATATATTCTTGTAGAAATCTAGGGGATGCATGCTGATCTCATTACATGTCTCAGAAATCGCAAAGAAATATATGAAGAATATTTACCTATGCAGATTCTGGGCCCCATGCCGAACGGCATGTAAGTGAAGGGTTTGATCTTGTGTTTGTTTTCGTCGCTGAATCGTTCTGGGTCGAACTTGAGTGGTTCGTCCCAGTACTGCGGATCCGTATGGAAACCGACAATGGGAGCCTGCACAATGGTTCCTTTGGGAATGGTGATGGCATTTGAATTTTCGCCGGCGGGTAAAACTACATCATTCTGGCAGATGCGGTCGGTAGACGGTGCAGGTGGATACAGCCTCAACACCTCTGAAAATACATTCGTCCATACATAAGCGCAGTTTATGGTGTGTAATGTTACGTGATAGCAGTTGCGAAATGTTACCTGTTAAAATTAGTTTTTTTATCATCGAAAGTGAGAAAAGGTCAGACCATAGTTCTGTATTTTGAGAATTTGTGTAATGAAAAGATTGTAAAAAATCGTTCCTCATTGAGAATCTTCACGTGGATTATTTCTTGTTCATTATCATCAATTTAATATGAAATTCAGTATAATTATATGTAATTTTACAATTCTTAAATAACAATTGTAGACGTCCAATGTTTTCAGGCTTATAGTACAATATATTATCACTTTTGCACATTTTTGATATAATACAATATACACATATACAATAAAAATGCATTGAGTGTAGTATTCAAACCCCTAACGCACTGAAATATTAGGTGCTAAAGGACTGATGATTCCATGCTCGATGATTCAATTCCTACTCTGCATTTACAGATTGCACGAATATTAATCATCATTTATTCATGTGTAATGATGAAGTACGGGCTTTATACTTACCACTAATGACAGCGTCAAGGTATTTCATGCCCTGAATGGCTTCGTAAGTAGGCGTGCCACCAGTTGTTTTCATAACTTCGTCTATCTCTACCCGGAGTTTCTTCTGGATTTCGGGATGATGGGACAACACAACCGTCGTAAAACACAAGGCCGTCGCAACTGTTTCAAATCCACCGAAGAAGAAAATAATGGCTTGGGCAGAAATGTCATCGTCTGATAGAACTGAAACAAAAATACGTATTTCTTATCAAAAACAGTATTCCCTTTGATATCTTTACAAAATATAGGGTAAAAAGTAAATAAATCGTAACGACGAAAATATTACCCAAAGTCAACCATAAAATATTACCCAAGAATTGCTGTACAATTTTACCGAAGATATATTATTATTATTATTATTATTATTATTATTATTGTTATTATTTCCTACAATCGAACTTAATAAATGTGCCCAAAGAAAGAGAACTTCAGGAATGGTGACTGAATTTACTTTCCCTTAATGGATGTTAATTTTCGGTTAAAAACGCATCTGTATTTAGACGGAGCTATTTTCACTATTTGCATTTTTCCTTTATGCAAATTAACATTGCTTGAAAAGCGTCCATACAAGACAGACATAATTGCAGTCCTTGCCTTGTCTTCAAACTGTTTCGTCCTACTGGTCACCCGAAGTTCCCAAATTGTACTTTCGGGGGTCGCCTTTTTTGGGTACTTCGTCGTAAGGACGGGGGCCAGAACAACAAATCAAAAAATTCAGCATCTTCCAAGCTATGAAAATGTATTCTGCTAGCATACTTTCCCTTCATTCAGATGGAAGAAGGAGGAGGTAGCGAAATTCATTGATAGTTTCCGTTTTCGCTTGGCGTAATAATGTATATAATAACGTAACAACGACGGAGTCGACTTACTTTTTCCGCTCACTCCCAGGTTTTCGGCTTCTGCGGAGTCTTCCTTTTCCGCCTTCAGTTTGCCCTGTCTGGCCTGCATCAGCAGCTGCAGTACGTCGGGCCTGATTATTCCCCGCTTCTGGCGCTCTTTGATAGTATCGTGGATTAGCGAGTTGAAGAAATTCGTCGATTCTGCATCCAATAATCGAAAGCCGGTTTTCTGCAAACGAATGTTGATGTAATAAGATTTGTTTGCATTTTTTGCATTTCAATTTGTGCAATAAATGCTTTGAAGATCAAGCGCAATAACATTTGATATAAACATGTTATAGGTTAGAAAATCTATAAAAATTAAAGTGTTAGAAAACATAGAAAATAAACTATTACCTACCTCCACTAGTTTGGGAACTGTGAGGAATGCAAAAAATAGTAAACTTCGCAATCTGCTGAATGTGGTCAATGTCTTTCCTCTGGTGTAGAACTCGTTGTTCGGGTTCTTCAGAGAGTCACAGCTAACGCCAAATGCCGTAGTAGCAATAATATCATTCGTTAACCGTGTGAAGAGATCTTTCAAGTCAAACACTAGTGGTTTGTTCATTGATCCTTAAGAAAAATGCACATTAATTTCATATTAATAAAAACCTTTCAACTTTAATTCAAATACATATTACAATTTTTTTGATGACCCACCTTCCTTGCTGCTGACGTACTTCTCTCGCAAGTACTGCGAGAACTGATCAGCGCATTGGGACATAAGCGGTAGCATTGCCTTGATTTTACTGGTGGTGAAGGCCGGACTGAGTGTTGCTCGCATGTCTCGCCATGCTTGATCTGAAAAATAATATTTGAAATAAATCGATGCAAGGAAAAAGGAGATGCAGAATTACTGCTTAGAGAACATGAGAATAATCTATGGAAGTATGAATTAATCGTAGAAATACCGAGGTAAAAATGGTTTCATGCATTACCAAGAAGGGTGGGCTCTGAAGCCTAATGATTCAATTTTTATTTTATTGGTGTTTTTGAATGTTGCATTAATAAACTGATGTGACTACTAGTAAACAAATGCATTCGCTTCACAAATATGTAACTGCTAACTTTGTATATCAAAAAATTAACAATTTCTCGCATGAATATTTATTTTAAATGACACAACCTATTACATTTTTGATGTTAAATAAAGACTGATATATCTTAACAACATAGTAATGTTTTAAATTATATTGTACTCTAGTAAGGGGTTCAATATTTCAAATATATTCGAAATGTGTGCTGAATGCACATGTTATGAGGCAATTGTACTGATTATTTTATCCAACGCTCAAGACACTGTAAAAACTCAAGTAAGAACAATCACTTGTGAGAGAGGACAATAACAACGTGTTTTGGAGAGAAAGTACATCGCAGATTTTATCAATGATTTTCAGCTTCCTAATTTAACAAGTAAGTCGTAAAGTAGTTGTTCTTGTCCTGGGTCTTTCAATTCTGAGGGCCTCAGGCCCAGGAAGGTGTAACGACACGTAATAATCACCAGTTGTCAGGCAAACAAATCAATGTGAATCTATTTACTTATAAATACACGAAATTGGACAGGTTTGTCCGTACAAGTTGGAGGAAGATTGTGAAGTTCATGCGGAAATACTCGAAAACAGAAAGGCAGTAAACAATTTGTTTGAATTATACCTCGCGAAATAGGCAAAAAGATGTATGGTCTATTCAAATATCGGATGGAAAATAACATTTTGAGTTACGTAATGAAACTGTACATTTGGGTTATTTTAAAAACTTGTATTTTCGTCAATTTTCGTAAAATTCAACAAAATAATGTTTATATCGAATAACTATTTCTTATTTGAACATTATGGCATTTATTTATTGCATTTTATTTCTTAAGTTTAATAAATTGAATTCTTAAAAGTGAGTGTTATTTGTTAAGTTGGTAGCGGAGCGGTCGTAAAGAATTCAAAAGGCCCGCGCGGGGGAAAAGAAAGTCAAAAAAAGACCAGTTAGGGTATTGAAATATCTTTCGTTTCAAGTGTACGAACAGTAAATCCAGTTTTCTGGTTCTGTAATGACTTATAAACGGTAAAAAGTTAATAATTTAAAAAACAATCATCGGCCTGTGTGCGCACCCACTGTCCTTTGGTACTGTTAGGGTTAATGAAAACTTTAATTAACGAACAGATTTGACATAAATAATTTAACCAGCAATATAAACTCACTTTCATATAATTCCAAAGTACACTACGAAACACACAAACATAATTTTTACTATATAAGAACAAATGTTTTAATGTTTCTTAATGTTTCATTTTCTCCTCCTTGCTAGAGACCCATTGAGGATGGGAAAAGTGTTTACCCGAAAGTTAATTCTGGATAATTATTAATAAAAATTATTAAACCTTTTGTGGAGATTATTTCCTTTATCATATTATGAATTACCACAAGGTATCTGCTACCGCCACAGAATTTAATCTTTACAGAAACATACCTTTCAGATTGAAGAGGTTCTTCCCAAAGATCGGATCTGTCTTCTCGCTGGCGAAACTTCGATGATTTATGAAGTTGTCGAATTCTTTCACTCCAACCACTTTCAGCAAC